CAACATATTTCATAGTATTTAAGCAGTGATAAAGGCATTGCATTATAAATATACTTTATTTTAATGAAAATTATAATAATAAGAACTCAGATTAACCGTATATTGCCGTAGTCGTGTGTTTATTAGTCACGTTGAATCAATGAAAGCAGTTGAATCTTCTGTTTATTCAGCTGCAGCGATTTTCTGGGTTTCTTCTGCGAGGCGTATTTGGAGTTTCAGCGAAAGAGTGCCCTCCGGCCTTCGGATGGAGATTTACTGCTGATCACAGAACCGTGCTTCACTGAAAGATACGCATGACAATCGCAGCTTCTGTCGAATCGCGATCTCAATTCCATTTTGATTTATCTTGCAGTCCTAGCCCCAAGTTTGTTTGTTGATCACAAAGTACAAAATAGATGAGGAAACTGAAGCCGGGTGTATTCAAAGCACCGCCATTACGGTCTAGAGTGCGTGGAATGGTGCGCTGTGATTGGTTAAGCGGGTATATCGCATTCTGCAGAAAAGGGAGATTGGCGTTGGTCGCAGCTTGGAAAAAAAGGGAGCAAACATGACAGAATAACTCAACGGATATTGCATTTTGTGCAAAATTTAAAATTTGACTTTTCAATACAATACTGATTTTGGCGGATTTTTATCGCTTTTTGGAACCAAACTCTTCATACATGTATAAAAATTATATATGTATATATAAATTACATATATAACTAATATTAATTATATATATATATATATAGCCTATCAACACCGCACCACCGGCGGTAGTTGGTCCATTAAAAAAAAATCTGCCACCGTCACAGCCCTAATAGATAGATAGATATAATTGTTTTGACAAACTTTACTTTTCTAGTTCTTTTTGCAAATTTCTGTGGTTTTACTGCATATAAATCTAATTAGAAGCCACTCAAAGGATCATGAAAGGAGTTTCTGCAAGTTCACAACTTCTGTGGACACAAATCTTTCTTACAGACCACATCTGAGCTCACCAAGAGAAAGAAAAGGGAAAACAGATGAACTCCAGCAACTTTGTAATGGTTTTAGAGGCAACGTGCCAGAGATCTAGAGGACAAAAGCAAAGCGAGCCTCATTTCAATGGACATTTAAACACTGCGGCTTACTAGAGGAAACAGAATCAGTCAAAGTCCAGCAATTAATTTCAGCCACAGCGTGAAGATCGCTAATCTCCCTAAACAGACGTCCCTAGGAGAATTCATTTCCAGTCTATACCCGAGCACACATATGACTTAGGAACTTCCGCTCTTCTCCGACTTTTGTAGTGCCAGGAGGGGGAGTTGAGAACACCTGGGCCCACCGGGCTCCTCCTTTGCAGAGGAAGAGCACAAAGAAACAGCTGAAGGAGTCTGAGCTTGTCACCAGAATTAACCGTCTTCAGAAGGGAGGAGCACAAACAAGGCTAGAGGTCTACGAACACATGAAGAGTCCTGGAAAGTGGGTAAAATAGCTTCAAATGAAAAGCTGCTCAGCTCATTCACTATCTCGGTTTTCTTCCTCTGTCCTCAATCTCCTTTTACCTGCCTGATCTGCCTGATTACGATCAAAACCGGTCGCACACTTCCTCCAACCCTTATCAACAAGAGACCATACAGTAAAGTGAGAGACTGTGTTAAAGAAAACACACAGGTATGCAAACATTTTTTTTTTTAAACTGAACTCTGAGACACCTTTTTATTATCCTAATAAAATAATTCACACCTATCTATCCATCCATCCATCTATCAGGTATAAATTGCCTATGAACTTTTAAAATAATTTTAACCTGAATTAACAATTCAAAAGTCCTGCAAGTCCAGGATAAAAAAAATAGGGACTGGTTGATACATTTCCTTCACTTTCCCTCCAAAAATCCTTTCATTCAAATGCAAACTTGTTTAATTAGCTTAAGAAGTGATTGACATTGGCAGTAGGAGCTTGACAATTGCATCAAAAGTTTTGTGGGTTTTGTTATGCTAAAATTCAACAAGGCCTTTTGTTGTTCACGTGTGTTGAATTAGCATTACATACAACAGATTTTACTCCATCACTTTCATATCGGAATACACACAAATTGAAAAAGGTTTAAAAACACCAGGATACAACTTATTACATTTGTATTAATACTACTAGAAAAACTCCAGAGACGAGGCTCTGACATTTGCAGTGATGCTTGCTGGCAGACATTTCCAACCTTACATAGTGACATGTCAGCAAATGAACCACTCGCTACTGACGTGACCTGAATAAATAAGTTCTTTTTTTTTCCCTCAAGAAACATTTAAGAACACCAAGCCCAAACTCCAAAGAGAAATAACATGACAGTCTGTTCTCAAAATTGCAATATAATAGCTTGTAATAACTCAACAGCAACTGCATACAAACAATGCAGGCCTGCCATTATTTAAGTCCTCCATAATGCCAAAATCAGAACATTTCATCCAAGAAGAAGTATATTTTGTTCCCTCACTCTTAACAATAAAGGTTCTTCAATGGTTCTTTGCACCAGCAAGTTCTTCACATTACAGCTTTTCAATTTGGTTTACTGTTCTCTAAAGCACCCATATATAAATGGTTTCCCACAGCACTAGAGAATTAAATTGTTTGTTGTGGAACTTATTAAAGGTTTTCCAATAGAATCAGGCTGTAAAACCTTTTTGGATCTAACAGGACTGGATTGAATTCATGTTGTTCTAACAATTTAGTAACACTATATTATAACTTTTAATACGAGTTCAATCCCCAACCATAAAAACGGCTTAACAGAACACGTTCATGAACATTCAAATGTAAATTAAGCAGTTCTTACTATTCGAATACACATTAACTGATTGTCTTGGCATTATTTATGCAAAGACTTCTCGATTAGAAGACTAGTCTAATCATCTTAAGCAATATTTGCGCTATAAAGTTAGTTGTAATGGGCTAAAAGACTAGTTTAAAAGAAACTAATCATCTTAAGGATTATTTTTGCATTAAAGTTATAGTTGGAATGAGTTAGAAGACTAGTTTAATACAAAAATGGACCTTGTAGCTGTTGGTAAATGTTTGGAATAAAGTTCTGAATAGAAGATAAACAAATATGAGTTAAGGCACAAAATATGACTCAATCCATCTGAACTAAACTATTCACACGGTTCTGCTTCCTTGCTCCAGAAATAACACACACCAAACCAGAGTTCAATCTCTCTCTAGGCGTGAATACAAACCAAGAAAACCAATAATGAGTACATGGTGCCAAAACTATACATATTTAAGCACAACGGCAATTTCTCACCAGCAACTGTCACAGGAAAGTTTTCAGCGATGCTTCTCTACAACACTATGAATCTATATGATATTAATCATTTGTGTCCAGGGTTTTTAAACAAAGATATTTCCATTTATACTTATTTTTGCTCATAAATAGTAGTTGATACATTTCATACAAAATTAAAAAGTGTTTAGGCTTTCTTTTATAATTTTTATGCATTTAGCATTTATTACCTTATGATAATCGCAAGACTATAATTTTACGAATTCATTTATTCCTCTGCAGGTCCATTTAAAATGAACTAGCTAATAGAGTGGAAAACTAGAAATGGTGACTAGTTAATGACAGTCAGACACAACATTCATACATCTACATTTTAACCTACAAAAATAAAGAAACTACCCATATAGTGCCCATTAGTTACTGTCTAACTTTCAAACTAATTACATGTTAAGCACTAGAAATATTTGTTTAGGTTATGAATGTTAAGTGTTTCCAAGAAAATCTAGCTCTTTATACTTGGGGGGGGTCTTTGAGCTGGCTGAGATTCTTTATTTTAATCAACTTCAGCAGTGTTTTTGTTGAAAGTGCAACGTTAGTTTATCCGTCAACTTGTCTGTAACACTATTCGGATAAAGGTCAGGTAAAACACCCGTCTTTAAAATGGTTTTAACAGTCAATTTAATAATTTTGCACTCTTTTTCACGCTATTTGACATCCGACACCACCGAGGCCTCCACAACACACAACCAGAGCCGTTTACAAGTCTTGTGAGCTTAAAACCCCCGACCAAACGTGTCGAATACGATCAAAAAAGTTGATTTTTTTTTTACTTTAACGCTTCAACTCAATTTCAAGAAGAGCACATCTCGGTTAACGAACCCACCGCAGACTATAGTTTCGTTCAAACCAGCTCAACTTTACGCAGACGTAACTCGCTCGAATTTGCTCTCAACTACTACAAGTTGCCTTTCTAAATATGTAAACTATCAAAAAAAAAAACACGCTCGTGCGAAACAAAACTAAATACGCCAAAGTTTCGCCAAAACCGAGCGTGCGCAAAGTTTGTTTCGCGCTCGTGCGTTTTACTTTGTATCACATAGTTCGCGGTGATAGGCTATAATGACTTCAACACCTCAGAGCCGTAGGGAATAACTCCACAAAAACTCTTTTACTCACCGCGAATCACCGTCAGACTACAACAAAGCAGCAGTTCCAGCAATAGTAAAACACCGGTCTTTAAAATGGTTTTAACAGTCAATTTAATAATTTTGCACTCTTTTTCACGCTATTTGACATCCGACACCACAGAGGCCTCCACAACACACAACCAGAGCCGTTTACAAGTCTTGTGAGCTTAAAACCCCCGATCAAACGTGTCGAATACGATCAAAAAAGTTGCTTTTTTTTTACTTTAACGCTTCAACTCAATTTCAAGAAGAGCACATCTCGGTTAACGAACCCACCGCAGACTATAGTTTCGTTCAAACCAGCTCAACTTTACGCAGACGTAACTCGCTCGAATTTGCTCTCAACTACTACAAGTTGCCTTTCTAAATATGTAAACTATCAAAAAAAAAAACACGCTCGTGCGAAACAAAACTAAATACGCCAAAGTTTCGCCAAAACCGAGCGTGCGCAAAGTTTGTTTCGCGCTCGTGCGTTTTACTTTGTATCACATAGTTCGCGGTGATAGGCTATAATGACTTCAACACCTCAGAGCCGTAGGGAATAACTCCACAAAAACTCTTTTACTCACCGCGAATCACCGTCAGACTACAACAAAGCAGCAGTTCCAGCAATAAAATCTCCATCGCAAGCGCTCCCTGCTTTAATTCCATAATCCCAGCTCCATTTCTTCGAGGTATTTGGTGTTAGGAGAAAGTTTGTAGTCCGTAGGTCGAGCAGTCGGACTTTTCTTCTTCTAGCGATAGTAGAGGAGGCACGAGGAGGGGAATGACTGATCGACGTCATCATGTGGGATTGTGCCTCTCAGCAGAGCGAGCAGAAGACGCAGTGTTTTGAAAAAGTAAAATAGCTTAGGCTACTACTGTAAATGGATAAGTGCATGGATACATGTGCAGTCAGCCGGTCATTATCGCAAAATAAATTTAACTTTTTTTATTTTAACACTGCAGTCTGTGGATCAAATTAGGCTATAGCCTATCTATCTATCTATCTATCTATCTATCTATCTATCTATCTATCTATCTATCTATCTATCTATCTATCTATCTATCTATCTATCTATCTATACAGTGTTGGGGGTAACGCATTACAAGTAACGTGAGTTACGTAATCAGATTACTAGATTCAAGTAACTAGTAAAGTAACGCATTACGTTTCAATTTACAAGAGAATATCTGAGTTACTTTTTCAAATAAGTAACGCAAGTTACTTTTTTTTTCCAATTTATTGATTGACAGCTCTCCTGTCCCGTGTATATATATATATATATATATATATATATATATATTTTTTATCAAGAGTAAATCTGTATTTTTTTTTTCTACTGGAGTTTTTATGTTGCATTTCGTTCATTATGTGTGTTACCATGATGGTGTTTTATGTTTATGTGTGTATACTCTTTCATTATGTTATTATTGGCTACACTTGTCGGAGAGGCCAATCATGATGAACTTTCAGTCATCATGTGGGCAGCCAAAGCTGTTATCAGTACATTTTACAGTAACAAACAGATTTTGAATCACTCAAGCAGGCTGGAATATTAACATTATAAGATTTATTGACATATATACAGTTAGGAGACGCCAAAAAATATAGTCAACCTACATCAACGCTGTCAAATAATGTTCGAAATGTCGAATTGCTTTTGTGTAACTGAGACACTAGGTTTGTGTCTATAAAGAAATTGGCTTTCAGAAATAAACCAACTCGGAAAGAAATGTTCACTGGAATAAAAAGTGTGACAACTTGGCCTGGTAATGTAAGCAGAGCAAACTGCCAATTCTGACATGTGCTGACTTTAAATCAGTGCATTTCACTTTTTATTATTTAGATTGAATAATGTACAATGCTTAATTGTGATGCTTTAAATCATAGGACCATCTATGGGTTGTCAATAGGGAAGGGTCTTGATTAAGGGGGCCCACTATAGCTTCACTATGGTATAGCATACTCATCAACCCCAGTGGAAGGTGAGAGACATGATATGACCATTGTAAAAGTTTCATTTCTGTTTTTTGTTTTTTAAAATAAGGGGGGGGGGGGATTCAAAGTTGTGTCATTTGACTGGAATGGAAATGAAGTTATGTTCTATATGTAATTTATGGTTAACACTAACAGTCTTCCTCTAAGACAGACTTCCACTAAGAACTTCTGTGGCTTTATATTCTGGTATTTCAGGGGATTTTTTTTAGTACAAGCAACCATCAATGTTTCATAATAATAAAAATCAGAAATATAAAACGAGACCAACATGATTAAAACATTAACATGCAGTAAGATTATAGAGCTGTAAAATGTGGTGTTGGGAGAACTTCATAAAACATATTGAGGTATCTGATTGCAGATTGTCAAAAAGGAGTTCTGAAACATTAGAAGACAAATGTGAGTTTAGTGTCTTTGAGAGTCTTTTTCTCAGGAGAACAATTTGAAAGGCAGGAGAGATAACTGAGATATTAGAGATCTCATTTAGTCTTGGGAGAACTTGATGAGACATATTTGAGTTCTCCAATAACAGATTGTCAAATGAGTTCTGACATATTAAGAGACAAATGTGAGATAGTGTCTTCTCAAGTCTATTTTCAAATAGAACAATCTGAAAAGCAGGAGAAATGACTGAGATATTAAAGAGATCTTATTTGGTCTTGAAAGAACTTGAGACATATTTGAGTTCTCTGATTGCAGATTGTCAAATATGAGTTCTGAAACATTACGATAGAAATGTGAGATTAGTGTTTTCTGGAGTCTTTCTCAGGAGAACAATCTGAAAAGCAGGAGAAATGATTGAGATATTAGACATCTCATTTGGTCTTCGGAGAACTTGATGAGACATATTTGAGTTCTCTGAATGCAGATTCTCAAATGTGAGTTTTAGTCACATTAGTGTCTTTTCTTCAGGAGAACCATCTGAGAAACTATCTGAGAGATATTAAAAAAGATATTACTTTGTTAGGGAGAGATAAAAGCTTTAATATGCATACAATCTGCTTTGTAAGTGAATGACAGATCAATTCTTCTTTGTACTTCAAAAAACATCAGCTTAAACATGCCACGCTTGGCACAGTATCTCCTGTTTGTTGATAGTCTGTTATGTTTCTTCATGCTCGTATGAAAGCTTATGTTATAAAAGAGTAAAATACAATATGCATACTCTTTTCGGCCTCTTTCATGAGTCCTGAGGTGCGGTAAACATCAAGGATCAAACTGAAACCCCTGGCGGAGTAAAAGCGCTCATTGGGCTGAATGGTAAAGTTCTGCAACCAACTCCAAATCTCCAAAGTGAAAGCATATGTGCGCGGTTCGTGCGTGTGAGCGAAGCAGGCAGTAATTCCCGGGCCTAGAGAAATATGCTGTAATGAAACCTGCCTTTACAGTCACCTGTGCAATATAGCTCTCGGCGTTCTCTTTGATCCGCCGAGCACTGTGCGCAAATAATAAAAAAAAAAACACTTTCTCCACTGCCCGTTGTTACTTTTGAATATTAGCCTTTGTATTAATGCATCCAAGATGTAATGCAAGACATATTTTGCACGTAACAGATGCCATCTGGAACAAGTCCTCTTAAAACAAAGGGTTTATAGAGGCATCATGTCAATGTGCTTTGCACTAACCCTGTTGCTTGCTACCTACTTCTCACTGGACATTCATAGTCAGGATTTCATAGTCGGCCTGAAGCCGTGGTGAAATATGTGTCTGCCACTTAGTTACACAACCAAGAAAAACAAGGATATTCTGTTGAAAGTTGTAGCAAATAAACGGCTAATAGCTAGTATCAATACCAAACCATCAAAACAAATGAGAGGTCCACTGTTTTGTTTGGAGAGCGAAGTTAACGTTTTTATTGGAAATTTGTCGGCATTGTTTCTGTTCTGGCAGGAAGTAGAAATCTAGGATGTCAAATGCCAAAAGAAAGCGAGAGATTGGGAAATTTTGAGGCCTGAGACAATTCCTTTGGAAATGACAGAAATGCAGCACTCAACAAGAAATGTGGTAATCATAGGTTGTGAAATTTAAAACAAATTTTTTTTTAGGTTAGATCAGGTCAGCAACTAGTTGCACAACCATCTGCAGAAGATAACAACGAACTCCAAACTCCGTCCTGTGCTTCTCTAATAAAATCCACATTTCACATAACTCCTGTTGTTTCCCCCCAAAACAAAACCGTCCCCTGGTGAGCTTGTTGTAAAGGTGTCGGCCCACCTTCCTCCCAACTCGTTATTTTCCTTCTTGCCAATTAAACTTCCAGACCTTTAAAATTAGATAATGTGCATCGCAGGTTTCCAAGGTGCAATTATTGGCTGACAGATGTGGCTTGTTTATGTGTGGCATCTTGTTTACTCCAAAGAGTGATTGATATGCACTACTCATAAAACACTTTGAAACCACGGGAAACCTGGGGCCCACTGGCTCCAAAAGGGAGGTGATGGACCCCTTGAACTTACACATCCTCTTCTGTTTGGTCATCAACAGGTTTTTTAAAAATGTTCCATGCTGATTTGGAATAACCATTGTAAATATGGTGAAATGTGTTAAAAAGAGCCGAGAGGACCAGCTAAAAGCATTAAGTTAGCCAAAACAATTCAATTATTTACTCAATAACGAATAACAATTACTCACACGACCCCAAATTGCAACTAAAATAGTTGAAAATACAACAAAAAAAGGAAATAACCATTTAAAATGTAACCTGGGAGGCATTGCGTTCATATGTTTTCAAATATCATAGCGACAACGAACTAACAAAATGTAAGCTGTGATGGCTGATTCACAAACAGGTTCTTTTTTAACGAGTACTTTAAAAAGACGAACCAAACAGTGCCCAAATCAGCTTGAATCAGACGCACAGATCTGTGAATCATTTGGAGTTGTTAGTGAGTTCATATCTGACTCCCTCACTGAACCGAGAATCATTTATCAGTTAGGCCAGGGGTCTGCAACCTTCAATGTCAAAAGAGCCATTTTGGCCCCTTTCCCACCGAATAAAATTCATGTGGAGCCACAACATATTTGATGCCCAAATAAAGATAACAAGGCATATAGCTAAAGTGTTATATTTAGTTATGTTACAGGGCATGGGGAGTAGCAATCATTTCATTAGTGAGGGGGACAGAAATGTCAAATCTAGTAATAATAATAATAGGCCTAATAATATATAATTATGTATGTCTAATCGACAAAAAAACCCGTTATCTCTTACTTTTAATTGGCTAAGAAATAAAATACACTGCTGGACAATAACCAATCATTTGTCTTCTATAATATTTTTGATATATATTTTAATGACAATTTTATGGTTATGATTGTATAATCAGTATAATAGTTTATATACTACAAACACCTTTTTCCATTTTTATCACAGAATAAGGCAGAAAATATATTTTATACTGTACTGGAATTAATGCTATGTCAATTACCACTGTATCATTCCTATAAAAGACTTGAAAAATAGGGGTGGGCTGATAGACGATGCCATTGTCCGATATTCATCACGATGCTGAGCTGACGACTATATTGTCTATTTTAATTTAAATCTAGATTTTTTCACATTGGCCCTTGAAAACCTCTACGTGAACACACTTGCCCGAGAAAAAGTGCATGGGAAGAGTTTAGTTTTTATTAAAAGTCGGGGGGACACCTCCCCCACGTACTGTACACCCATGCTACAGGGAGCCACCACAGAGGGATGCAAGAGCCGCGGGTTGCCGACCCCTGAGTCAGTCCTATGTCCGATTCAGCTGCGATCCACTCATTACTGTAAACTAATGTAGCAATATTTTACAAATATATTAGCTATTGTTTAGCAGAGGTCGTAAATTTGTCATTTGGCTCCTAAAGGTTTCTTTTTAGTTTTCATTTTTTCAGAGCCCTGTCACATTTGTTAATGTGCTAGTTAAATGCGGGGTGGGGGTTTAATAAATTAAGAGAAGTGAAACACATAGAATTTCCATGATGATGAAAGTTCAAATTTCTGTGGAAACCAGATGCACAGATTACCGTCAGCCTAGTCATGGATCAGAGTTAAGTAAACATCAAGTAGAGACACACGCAATAAAACAACACAAAGTAAGTGCAAAGTACGTTTTTTTCTTTATTATATATCTTTTTAACAGTGCAGCTATTAAGACTTACAAAATCAATTTGGCACATATCAAACTTCATACCTTCCTCTGATCTGTTCTTTGTTCTTGACACTAAATACACAATGGCTATTATTCCCTTTATCAGTTATTCCCTTGTTATTGGTTATTCCCTTGGCTTTACAATGTGCTTCTGTGCCACAATTCCTGGTTTGGCATTTATTCCTCACACACACACACATACAAAAAAAGGCAATTATTGCAGCCAACTCATCAGCTGCAGATGAAACACTGGACATGACAGATAAGACAAAACATTTCCATGTATTGCACTATGAATCCCTTATAAATGACATTCGTTGAACGAAGGATGAGGGCTAAGTTAATACTAAGGCTTCAGCCCCATGTGTCAAGAATTAAGTGGAAGCTAAATCTGCATAGAAACAAAAGATACACATCATACCAACTCACTTGAGCACCAGCTGGATTCTCGTATCTTGAAGTTGTACGGGGCTTTTGAGCATTTGAGTGCTACCAAGGGATCTTCTGTCAATCTGCTACCAACCTTTGAAAATGGAAATATACTGAAATGTAAATCACACAATCCCGGTCAGACCCCTGAACATACAAAAAAAGGCAATTATTGCAGCCAACTCATCAGCTGCAGATGAAACACTGGACATGACAGATAAGACAAAACATTTCCATGTATTGCACTATGAATCCCTTATAAATGACATTCGTTGAATGAAGGATGAGGGCTAAGTTAATACTAAGGCTTCAGCCCCATGTGTCAAGAATTAAGTGGAAGCTAAATCTGCATAGAAACAAAAGATACACATCATACCAACTCACTTGAGCACCAGCTGGATTCTCGTATCTTGAAGTTGTACGGGGCTTTTGAGCATTTGAGTGCTACCAAGGGATCTTCTGTCAATCTGCTACCAACCTTTGAAAATGGAAATATACTGAAATGTAAATCACACAATCCCGGTCAGACCCCTGAATCGGAGTACATTCCATTGATGAGGTAGTCGACCCGAGTGTAGTCCTTCCGCTTGTAACTCTCGTATGCTTGTTTGAGAATCAGTGCCACTGTGACCACGAAGAAGAGGAGGCCAAACAGAAGAACGGCCAACAAGGAGCTTGTGTTCAACAGGTGGCTGGTCAAAGGGTCTCTGGCCACCTCAATCATAACTTGGTCCCCTTTGGGAATGTCCTTAGGCAGTGCAGACACCACTACTGAGGGGCTCAATGAGGTTTTTGACATGGTCTGTGATGGCTTCTTCTGATCTGATGATGCTGCAGAAGTTTGGATCAGTTTTGTGGAAGGAGTGAATGAAGGTGTTGTAGGCACTGATGGTGAGATGCAGGCGGACATATTGGCCCCTGATGGTGACGGTGAAGACGACTGTTTTGGAATTATGGTTTGTGCAACTGTTGTAGTGGTGGTGGTTGTGCTGGTAGATGTTGGAGAGGGTTTAGGGCTGGTTGTGGTTGGTTTAGGTGTAGTTGTGGTGGTGGACGTCACGGCTGGTGTTGTCGGAATGGTTGCGGTGATCGCTGGTTTTGCCACTGCATCAGTTGTGGCGGCTTTCTCTGTTGGAGTTGTCTGCAGGTTGGTGGTCGTTATAGTTGTAAAGTTGATTTGTAAAGTGGCCAGATCTGTGGTAGTGGAAGTCATGGAGATCGAGATGTTAGGTTCAGTTGGCAAAGGTTTTGTTACATTAGGTGAAGAGCTGGTGCCAGCAGACTGATGGGGAAGCGCTGATTTATCAGTCTGACTTTTTCCCACATGGATGGAGTCTGCAAAAACAAAGTTTGGGTTGGTAAATGTGGCCGGATCTGTGGTAGTGGAAGTCCTGGAGATCGAGACGTTAGGTTCGGTTGGCAAAGGTTGTGATCCATTAGATGAAGAGCTGGTGCCAGCAGACTGATAGGGAAGCGCTGATTTATCAGTCTGATTTTTGCCCACATGGATGGAGTCTGCAAAAACAAAGTTTGGGTTGGTAAATGGTGACATCTATCTGATATTCTGGAACCCGTTATTGCACTAATGTCACAATTTACTGTTTTGTATTAGTGTGACAAATAATTGTAAGAGGTAAAGTTAATGAATGAAACAAATACAAACATGTGCAAGAGATGAAAAATTATATTATTTAAGTACAAACACAAAAAAAAAAAATGCAGGCAAACTGAGGAGAGGTATTACCATTTGTGATCACACCAAGTTCCACTAACAAGTCGTTGAAATTTGTGACATTTTCACAAGAAAAATTCTGGGTATTATTCGGGCAGCTGATCAGAAAACACACAGATCGTTTTGTATTAACAATAGCCTTCCAACAGACTTCACCTTCAGGACCTGAAAAATAAAGAACAAAGGAATCAACAGGATGTTCTCTTAAAATTAAAAAAAAAAAATCAAATATTGTTACTTGAAAAACCTTGTTTGTAGTGAATTTCGATGGACTTCAAAACCACATAAGATTGTTGAATAGACACAGTTGCTAATGAATCAGAATTGTGAATGTGAGTTGCAGACCAAATTAACTGTGGTGAGCTAAAAGGAACCATTCAAATCTGATTCACAAATAAATGACTCTTATGAGCAAGTTCTGAATGAGTCATTTAAAAAGGTAGATAAGTCAAGTTTAAATCAATCTGAATCCTGACAAAATAGGGGGTAAAGTTACTGAACAAAACTAAATTGAATACAAATATATTCACAAGAAATTAAAAATTCAAGGTACAAACATATATTACACCAATATTACGTCAATTTGGACATACAATACAAAAAGATTATGAGCCATCATCAATTTCCAATCCATAAATCATCAAATTGCAAAACTGGACACTTTGTGCAACCATAACCCAAATTTAAGAGAACAAATAGCCTAACCCAAACTTGAGTTTCTAAATTCCCAATATATTTTACAGCTCACTCTAAAATATGAAATAAAATGAACAGTGCAACCTGTGACTCGTCAACCTCGGTTGTTTTCATTGGGACAGAGATGTTCCCCGAATGCTCATTACTGGATGTCAAACTGTATATCCTGAGCTCTGCAGTCTTCGGGAACGAGCCACATCTGGGAGGAAAAACAGGCCTTGCCGCACCTCTCTTTGATCCCCTACCAGCAGCCATGTGTGCATTAGGTACAGCACACCTCAACCTCCACATCCGTCTCCACTCTTTCCCTTATTCCCACTTCCCTTGATTACTTAACCAGGTGGCTGCAGCACGGCAGGACCAACGGGGCTATAAAGAATTTGCTTGCGCTGGCACTGCAGAATGCTCCAAAATGCCCCCATTTCCCTTTTTGGACCTTGCCAACAGACAATCATCCAGTGTTTAAAAGCTCCAGGTGAATCAATAATCAACCTCGGTGAAGTGAAAACATCCGGTTGAATCAGCGTCGACACACTAAATCGAGAGGCCAGCTGCATCGTGTGCATTTTTTTTCCTTTTAAACACTTCTCCAGCTGTTTGAAGCAGAAAACGCATGAAACCAAAGGCGAAAGGAGAGCGGTGTGAAATAGTACAGGACCAGGCCCGATTTTTGCAGTCGCCACAGGTTGCCCTGTAGTACGTTTAGTCTTTGACGTGTCCAAAACACACCGTTCCCTGCAGTGGGATGCTTATGTATTTATAGCTCGCCATCATTCCAAACATTTCAGACTTCCAGATGGCGATGGTGATTCTGACCTTGCTTTCCATCTCCGTACAGTTAACGTGATGGAAACTCAATACCAACAACATACGTGCGTGTTATCAGGCGGGGGCAGGGCCAGTCGCTCTACCCCCGAACACAAAGCCAGCCTCGGGGTCATTTCAGCTGCCTGCGTGTTTACAGAGGTGGCGAGATTATGTAGAAGTGCAACGTGTGTGGTCAAAGCAAGAGGGGGAAAAAAAGTGATTTAATTAGAAAAAGAGCATGTCTTGACGAAGACTGTAGAAGGGTACAGCCCGCTGAAGCAGCGCCTGGCGCATAAGCAGAACAGCCAGCCCAGGCCTCCCTTTCATCTTAAATGGGAAACACATGGCTTTCTTTGAAAGTGCACGTCCTTCAAGGGAAAAACGTGATGCATAAAAGACAACACACAACATATGGCTTTACTTTACATATTATAAAAAAAAAAAATTAAAAAAAAAGATATTCCGCAGGTACCCTGTTTTATCTCTGAAGGTAGCATGCAGATTGCATTTCATTCTCAAGCCCTCAAAGAAACAAAGAAAAGGAAAAACAGGCTGGTTTAACTCTTGGAAATAGTGGAAAATAATCAAACAATTCTGTTTGTGCAGGGTTCAACAATAAGGGTGGCCTGTGTGAGAGAGTTGCAGGCCAGTTGATGGAACTGTCAAGACATGCACATACTTCATTTTTCAAACTTAAAAGGATTGTTTATTTAAAAAAAAAAAAAAAAAAAGTGTCATCATTTACCCAGACTCATGTCATTCCAAAACATGTATAACACTTTGAACAAAGACTCAGTGGGTTTTCTTTTTTTTTTGTCCATACAATTAAAGTAAATGGGGTCCAATGATGTTTGGTTCTTCAATATACGTGTATATATACAGTGGGTACGGAAAGTATTCAGACCCCCTTAAATTTTTCACTCTTTGTTATATTGCAGCCATTTGCTCAAATCATTTAAGTTAATTTTTTTTCCTCATTAATGTACACACAGCACCCCATGTTGACAGAAAAACACAGAATTGTTGAAATTTTTGCATTTATTAAAAAAGAAAAACTGAAATTTCACATTGTAAACAAGATGCGATTAATCATTTGACAGCACTAGTTCTGAATGACATGAGGGGGAATAAATTAAGACCATTTTTATTTTTGGGTGAACTATCCCTTTAAAAATGTTTTAATTAAAATTAAAAAATCAAATAAAATTAAAATCAATCTGATGTATTGAATATTGCCAAATTCTGCTGATGAAGATAACACAATTTATCAAGATGACTTGCTTAGACAAGGTTGTGTGCGAAAAAATGTATCCATGTAATATTATATATTTATTGCATTGTATATTACAATATATAAAATATAAACAATTTATGCAATGGCCGCATCGTATTTTGCATAATATAATTATTAATATTTCAATAGTTTTTTGTTTTAAAACAGATTGACATTAAATGACAAATATAAATAAAAACTAGTGCTGTCAAACGATTAAATCGCATTCAAAATAAAGGTTTTGGTTTACATAATGTGTGTACATTTATTTTTTATCAATTTGCACTGGCTACCAATAGCTGCTCGCATAAAATAAAAAGGCATTAATGCTTGCCTACAAAACCACCACTGGCTCTGCACCACTTTACCTAAATTCATTACTTCAGACTTATGTGCCCTCTAGAAGGTGTTCTGCAAGTGAACGTCGCTTTATTGTGCCATCCCAAAGAGGCACAAAATCACTCTTTAAATCACAGACTTTTAAATGAAATGTTCCCACCTCAATCCGAGCAGCTGAGTCCTTAGCCATCTTCAAGAATCGGCTAAAAACACATCTCTTCCATCTTTTTTTGACCCTCTAACTCTAGCACTCTCTATTCTAATTATATTCTAAAAAAAAAAAAAAAAAAAACCTTGTCCCTTAGACTTGCACTATTCATTTACTGCTTGTTTCAACAAAAAAAAAAACTAGCTTTTCTAATCTTTTTGTATTGTATCCATTTGTTTTTCTTATTATTTATAATACAATAAACAAAAGCAAAAAAGGCCTCTAACACTAGCTTGGTTTATTCTTTTTCTATTCAATCGGTTTTCTTTTTATTTATTATATAATAAAAAAAACAAAAAAACAACTTGCTACGTGTACCGCGTTAAGCTAACGGAGACTTGTTATAGCACTTGCATATCATTGCTCTTTTGTTGATTTTGATTGCTTCCATTGTCCTCATTTGTAAGTCGCTTTGGATAAATGTATTATGCATATACAAATACACACATGCATGCACATTTAAGGAAAATGTTACGTTTATATATTAAAATAATTATATGAATATATACATGTAAATCATTTCAAAATATATACTGTATGTGTGCATTCATAAAAACAAACATACAGCACACACACACATTTATTATGCAAACAAAAACTTTTATTTTAGATGCGATTAATCGTTTGACATCACTAATAAAAACCTATTAGTAAATATAAAAATATATAACATATACACATGTAAATCATTTCAAAATATATACTGTATGTGTGCATTCATAAAAACAAACATACAGCACACACACATTTATTATGCAAACAAAAACTTTTATTTTAGATGCGATTAATCGTTTGACATCACTAATAAAAACCTATTAGTAAATATAAAAATATATGAGAAAATGATGTTCTTCACACACCAAAACACTTTAATATTTTGGCATGGCAAACATCTGTCAGAGTAGTAGCCTTAAAGGGTTAGTTCACCCAAAACATTAGGCTGCGTTTTACTCACCCCCGAGGCATCCTAGGTGTATATGACTTTCTTCTTTCAGACGAATCCAGTCGGAGGTATATTAAAAATTGTCTTTGATCTTTCAAGTTGTTTAATGCCACTCAGCAGGTGTTGCATTGCTTCAGTCCAAAAGAACTTAAAAAAAAAAAAGGTGTCTCACACGGCTCAATAAGACCTTCTGTAACGAATCGATGCGTTTTTGTAAGAAAAATGTCCATATTCAAAACGTGATAATCACTTTAATCTAGCTTGCGCTCACTGTTGTACACGGAAGCAGTTCCGGGAGGATGACGTATGAGGTCAGCGCTGCGCCAGTGAGTCTCGTGAAAACCAATGTTTGTTAACAGGAGCAAAGGAAGCAAAGTTTCCTTACTTTAGCAAAGGAAAA